GTCCCAACGCGCCTTGTTCCCTAGGGAGAAGTCTGCAACATGATCAACAAGAAGTACAACGAGTTCCTGCCGAGCATGCAGAGCGCCGAGGAGCTGGTGTCGCAGGTGGAGGGGCTGTCCAGCAACATCGACCTGCTCAAAGCGGGCATCGAGAACGAGGTGACAGCGCGGGCCTGGGTAGATAACAGTCAGTTTCAGCCCAAACCCGAGCCCCCATCGTGCCGTGTTAACAGGGGACGGGGGAGGAGGACTCCCCTCCTACAAATGCCTTGAGATGACACATGCTGCAGAGGTGTGTGTCACAGCGGGGCTGTTTGCTTCCATTGTAAGTAAACTGTCATTAAGGGATTGGCTGCGCCGTACAGCTGGAAAAGTGTGTCACGCATCTCTCCTTCAGAGAGAAGGATCAGCTTTCTGTGTATCCTATATCTGTAAACTGCGGTAATGGGCCAGCTTAGTGTTGGTCCCAGGTGCAGTGTTACTTGAGAATTAACTTGCCTCAGTACAAGTACTCTTACATTTTAAATGGCTGCGTTAAAGGAATGCTGAAGTCCTCCTGACTACCTGTTTACACTAAATTTCCTTACAGTGCCTTAAAAAGCGTGTCAGGTATTAAAAGGTAAACTATCTTAAAAGTGTTTCCAGAAGATAAGGATTTTCTCATCAAGGAGCAAACCAGATGGAGCCTTTTTCCTCCTCACCAAATTATTCTAGTAATAGAAATACTTCAAATCTCATGTTGTTATCCCTCTAAAGGGGAAATGCGCCTGATAACATTTGCCTGCAGTAAATGAACTGCGAAGTTTGTTATTGCAGGTTCAGCGAGATCTCAACGTGGCTGTTGCCGAGTTTACGGAACTGAAGCAGCAGCTGGAGCGAGACACGCTGGTTCTGAGTGTCCTGAAGAAGCTGCAGGAGGTGAGGAGGGGCAGGGGGAGTCATCCTCTCTGCTCCTCGGTCTGTGGCATTGTTGTGGGCTATCTCCTGAGCAGATGCACGGTGACATACGGCTCTGTTTGATCATTGCAGTTTGATATCGCTATGAAAGGGTACAACACTGCCTTACTGGAAAAGAAGTACGTTGCAGCAGCTCAGCAGCTGGAAACGGTAATAGTGACTTCAGAAGCACGTGACAGAATTGTTCATCTACACTTTCAATGCGTTTCACAAGATGCTTTTCATCAGCAGAGGCAACACTTACCCGTGTTGTGTGTTTGGTCATTACCTCCAGGCACGAAGCAGCCTCAAACTGCTGGAATCCCGCAAGGGCTTTGAGCTGAAGATCCTGAAGGCACTAGGCACCGAGCTGACAGTGCAGACACAAAACATGCTCTATCATCTGGGAGAGGAGTGGCAGAAATTGGCTGTATGGAAGCTTCCTCCTTCCAAAGGTACTCACAGTTCCAGTTTGTTTCACTTTCTTTGCTTCACTGTTTGAAATGCCTGGTTTCAAGCACCTACAAGATAGGAAATACAGTTAGTGCTGGTTTTGGTTTAACAAGCTCTTTCTGCTGTTCATGTAAACTAATGAGTGTGAGTGATGAGTGCCAGTGTGCTTTGGATATCACTCCTAGGGTATTTAGATACTACCAAAGCCAGTCCAATGTAGTCCATAGATTTTAAACAGGGTTTTGAAGGTTCATCTGCCTCATCTGTCACGTTTTGTAGAAATGTTGAAGCAGAGATCAGAACAGCTAATTGTAATAACTGCACAAGTTTGTACCTTGCTGTCTTCATTGAAATACAAACTTTGCCTCTGGAAAAGAAAAACAACCTTTTCCTTTGGATTTGACTTGAAATGGGAAGAAGAAGGGAAGGAAAGCGATGTCACTAAATGTCATTCAATTGCAAGGTGACTGAAGTGAGAAATCTGAATCATTGTAAGATTGATTCTCATTCCGTTGTCCTACACTGTAACACAAGGAACTCTGTACCCTCTTCTGATGCTCTTTTACAAGAACAGCGTTTTGTGGAAATAGGGAGAAGTACAATATTGCTTTAGCTGCCACTGGAGGAATGCAGTAGCTTCTCTGTATCACTGAGCACACTCTTGACAGCAAGATGATGATTCTTTTTCTTTAGAAAGCAGCAGCCTGGAGTCAGTGGTGCATTCAGAATTGCACCTACACACAGTGCCATCAAAAGAGGATGAGATTGCCGGCCCCCCTGTTGCTTCTGTGCTGCAGGCATTTGCTGTCCTGGGAGAACTGCACACCAAGCTTAAAATCTTTGGTAAGACAGACTGTAGATATGAATATAGCTATAGCAGCCTGAGTGGATGTGAGTTCAGACTTGTATGAAGGATATCAAGGTCCAGTTTACTTCAGCAGTACACTGGAAGACTTCTTTCTCTCTTGGCTTGTTTCCCACTGAGCATGAGGTGAATGTTTTGGTTCTTAGTAGGAAATTATTTATCCTTTCCTGTCAATTTACTCTAGTATACTTTTGATCTGTGGCGATATGGTTTCGTATCTTGATGTTTAAAGAGTTTTTCTAGTTACAGCTGCCTGATCTACTAAGACCAAGACTTGGTTTCAGGCAGCCTCTGGGCTTCAGCATTCTCAGGTGCTGATGAAATAAATCAGCAAGTGTAGCAGATACTAAGACAGGATTTGATGCTTCCAGCTCTTGAAGTTGTTTTTCAATTTACAGTGAATATGCTGCTCTTTGTTAAGACTTCAGCTGCATTTTATGTGAATAAAACGGTCCTAGTGAAGCCAAACCCAGCATTTTACCTCATTAGCTGTTCCCCTCAAGAGAGCGTTTCTCCCACTCCATGCAAAGAATCTCTGCATCCAAAACAGTCATGGTTTGGCCTTACTGGAGCAAACTGCCTGCCTTCTGCTGTTGGAAACATCTTAGTGTTTTGTTTCTCAGGCCAGTTGTTGCTGAAATACATCCTCAAGCCACTGATTACATACCCATCTCTTCAGCCATGCACAGAGGAGCAGTCCGATGTGTTCATCCTACGTTTTAAGTCTGAGGAACCTAGCTTGGATCATTCCTCTCCTATGGAGGTTTTTGACAAGATCAAGCTTATTTTTGAAGTTCTCCACAAGTATCTGCTAAGTAGGTAGTTTCTACCTTTTGGGATTAGACTGAGATCAGTGCCTTGTTCACGTAATTGGAGCAGAAGTTTTCTATAATATCTGGTTGTTAAGCATATTTAATGTTAACTTGCTATGCTGTGCTCTTGGACAGCTTGGCACTTTGTCAAACCAGACTTAGCTGGTCAAATTGGCTGGAAACTGGCCTGAGCTTTGCTAGTATTTCGTGAAACAAACACACTGGAAAGCAGGCTCAGTTCACACAAAATCAGTTGTGTTGTGGTTGGGTGGGTGATTCCACAGCCCCAGCACATGAGCTTACCTCCAATGTAAGATTATGGAACAGCTGATGGATGCTGTCCTTACAGGAAGGACCAAATGAACTGGTGAAGGGTCTGATCCAGGAAGCAGATGTATTAACATCTATTTCTGTTCTCCTGAATTCAGATGTGCCTCTGGAACAGCCTCTGGAAGATAAGAAGGGTTGTGGAGTTACACTGGCAGAACTGCTAGGTGATATGATATGGGAAGAGTTATCAGACTGCCTCATTCAGAACTGTCTGGTGAATTCAATCCCAACCAATAGCAGCAAACTAGAGCAGTATATAGAGGTAGGTCTCAAGAATCTTTCAGATCCATGCAATGGAAATGCTAGGTTGCCAGCTTGAACAAAAAAAAAAAAGCTGTGTTTTGCTGATCTCAGATTGTGTATTTCTCTCAGTGAAGATTTGGCTTGTATTTTGGGGACCATATTTAGCTAACAGGTGGAGAATTCAGGCTGTGTGATATAAGGTACTTGTCTGAGCCTCTGTGAGAGACTGAAGATGATGTGGCCATGCTGCTTGCCCAGCTGGCTTCATGTATGTTTTACATACATAAACAAGAACTTACTGCTGGTGAAGAATGCCAATAGCTCTTTTTCATGGACCCCAGCTGAGCCAGCTTTTCCCAAAGGATTGCTGAAAAGCTGTTGGGTGATTAATGCCTTCTAAAACCTAGTTTCATCCGTTGCTTTCAGCTGAGTGGAAGAGTTTATACCCAACTTTAATTTTGCTTTTTGATTTTAGGAAGCTGTGTTAATTTAGAATATGTGTTTGCTCTTGTCAGGTGATTAAATCCACAGAGGAATTTGAGAAAGCCTTGAAGAACATGCAGTTTTTGAAAGGAGACACAACTGATTTACTGAAGTACGCCCGTAATGTCAACTCCCACTTTGCTAACAAGAAATGTCAGGATGTGATTGTGGCAGCCAGAAACCTGATGACCTCAGAAATACACAATACTGTAAAGGTGACTGTTGATGCAATCACTGCTTTCCTATGTGGAAAAATAACTTAAGCTGTTGAAGAAGGTTTGTCTAGAACAGTCGAATCAGGTTTTTTTTGTGGAACACTGCATACTCATAGAGAATTACTTACAGAGTTGCTTCTAGGCATGCAACATGACGTAGACTGTTTCATGGCCTGCTGTGTCATTCATAAACCAGGAGACTTCCAGCAGTCTTAGGGGACTTCTGCAGCCTTGTGTTTATCTTGAGTCTTAAATCTCTGTTGTTCGATGTTTTGTAGCCTTGCACAGTCTCCTTTCTGTGGCCTCTAAATGATATTAGACCTCTCATGTCTTCCCTTAGATCACACCTGATTCCTGTGTGGCCCTACCAAGGCTTCCTGATCCTGGTACAGGAGATCACTCCAAAATGCCAAAAGCTTCTGAACTTCTGCACAACGACATGGTGAATTTGGAGAATAAGACTAAACTGAGCCAGTACACATTTTCTCTGCCCACATGCCGCATCAGTTCATCAGTGGAGAAGCTGATGGAGTTGGCCTACCAGACATTGTTGGAGGCTACATCCAGCACAGATCAGTGGTAAGAATTCTGTATCAGCAGATAACTCTTGGGGGTCAGATGCTTACTGCCTTTAGCAACACCAAGCATCTGCTAGTGGATTAAAAGAACTTTAAAAGAACAAAAGATACCTTAAAATTAGAATCAGTCATTAAAGTTACTCTGTTTTGGCTGGAGGATGCATCCCTGGGTTTGTGCAGCAGGCTGGTAGAGCAGGAACAGCTGCAGACAGGGTTCCCTGCAATACTCAGGTTAAGCAGCCTTTTGGACTATTTCCAGGGAACATTCAGCTACACTTCATTGTATTTTTGCTATTAAAGCAGTGAAAATATGGCAGACTCCCTGGTACGCACAACACAGTTCATGGCTTCAGTCTTCTAGTTGGGAGAAATACTGCCACAGCATTTGCTTCAATGTTTTGTCGTATGATAACTGTCAGTTGTTTAGGAAAATCAAAACCATGGAATGATAAGAGATGGCACCCATTCCCAGAGGACTTGTTGCTTTCTTTATGCTGGGTGATAGCAAACTGCTCCAGCTCTGCATCTGTCAGGGCTCTTCAGAGGAAACAATGAGCCACATACAGTCTGCTTTAAAAACTGGAGACCACAACCCTGAAGGAGGAGAGTTGCCTAGATACTGAATGCCCTTCAGTGTACCATGGCAGAGAGAGGGCTGATAATAACCCACACCTGCTGGGGAAGGGACACTATCCCCTTTGTTCCTAGGGTTTCATATGTCTCCCTTCTGACATGTAGTCTGAAACTTGTCTTTACCACACTGAACTTCCAAGGTCATCACGGCCTTTGTAAATTTTCCAGAGCACTGCCTTTGTTGACATTGCTGTAATTGATCCTGACAATCTGTTATTTGTGCCAGTACTTCACTACTCATAAAACCTTGTTTTGGAGAAGGTTGAGGGTCACTTGTGAACCAGATGTTAATTCCACTGACAAACTAACACGAACCTTATTTGCCTTGTAGCTGCATACAGCTCTTCTACTCTGTACGGAATATATTCCAGCTGTTCTATGATGTAGTGCCGACGTACCACAAGTAAGTGCCTGTGTGTATCTGTTTTGGAGAGAGAACAGTGCTATTGGAACAGCCCCACTTGTCCCCAGTTTGTCCACCACAGCCAGAGATGAGTAAGGGCTTCCTCCAGTGGCAAAAGGCTGGTACTCTTAATCTGTTACTAAATCATACTTGCTGTGAAATAGGTGCTTGAGAGTTTCAGAGTTGGCAGTCCTATGGCCATGGAGATAGGTTGCAGTTCTTCTACAGTTGTGTTTGATTCCAGCCAGTTGGATTTGACCCAGAGTCTGATGCACAGATTTTTCATGATTTTTTTTTTTTTTTTAAAAACAGGGAAAACAAGAGAGAGCAATGAAGATTGCAAGTATACAGTTCTGTCAGAGACCACTGGGGTGGTTGTGGTTACTGAAAAGGACTTCTCTCTCTTTTCCTCACCAGAACTTTGCTGTAACAAAATATGTTCCTGTTTGAAAATCTGCTGCTAGGAACAATGAACATAGAACACATGGTTCAAATGCCAAAGCGCCATTTCACTAGCCATGAAACTCTGTTCCTCTAAGTTCTCATGTAGATGTAACAGGAGGTTAAATGCTTTTATTCCAACTGATGCCTTCATCAGGCATTGCCCACAGTTAGTTACTTGCAATATCTGAGACAGACCATGAGTTTCTCTAGGGTAGGCATGACAGGTTTTTTTAATAGGTCTATGCCTAAATAAATACATGTCTTCCTTTTCTCTTCCTCCTTGCTGGGACAGGGAGAACCTTCAGAAATTACCCCAACTGGCAGCTATTCACCACAACAACTGCATGTATATTGCTCACCACTTGCTCACCCTGGGACACCAGTTCCGATACCGCCTGACTAACATCCTGTGCGACGGAGCAGCTACGTTTGTAGACCTGGTGCCTGGTTTTAGGAGACTTGGTAATTTTACCTTTCAGTATTGAAATATATTGATGGATGATGTGGTAATTCATCTTGGCATTTATTGCTGAATGATGTAATGTAACTGTGGCTACTGACTCGGGCAGTGGATTGTCATTCAAGGGTGTTGGACAAGTAGCAAGGACATTCTCTATATTGGGAAGTCTAACAGAGCATTGCAACTCTAGACAGTATGGCTGCTTCAGGCTTGACTCTTTGAAACCCAACTCTTCTTGTCCAGCATGTATTTCAAGAACTGTTGATTATCCAGCAAGATGTTTAGTAATTGCTTAATTGCTTCTGTGTGCTTGTTTTTGCTTCGAAAGGGATGGAGTGTTTTCTGGCCCAGATGCGAGTGCAGAAAGGAGAAATCCTGGAGAGGCTGTCAAGTGCCAGGAATTTTTCTAATATGGATGATGAGGAAAATTACTGTGCAGCTAACAAAGCAATAAGGCAGGTAAGCAAGGCAATCAAAGCCAACTATCCTGTTGGCTGTAGGTGTTGTCCTTGTGAAGGCAGAGTGTGTAATCTCAGTCCTGAGAACTGTGCAGCGTGTCAGCAGAGGTAAACTGCTCTAAACAGTTTTCTGGCATGCTTTTTTTTTTTCCCCTGGGCTGTAAAATTGAAGCCAAATTCAGTCCCTCTTGCTCCAAGTTGAAATGAAAAGCTTCTAAATCTTGAACCATCTATAATGGTTTTAGTTTTCAAGTTAAAGATCTGCTTAACTTTTGATGAACCTTAATGCAAACTGAAAACATTGCATTCTCTTCCCCAGGAACGCTTGCTCCATGTGACAGCCACACACTTCATTGCCTTTAGCTTCTTTCAGACTGGTTTCTGACCTGTCACTTTATCATTTGATGTCTCTCAAAGTTCTGTTGATAACACATAGCTGTTATCTTCCAGGTATTACATCAGTTGAAAAGACTGGGAAAAGTCTGGCAAGATGTTCTTCCAGTGAATGTGTACTGCAAGGCCATGGGGACTTTACTGAACACAGCTCTCACGGAGATTGTCACTAGGATCACTGCCCTAGAGGTAACTGCATTTGTAACCTCTAGTAGTTCTTTCCAAGATCAGAGTTCCCAGGTACAGTCATCTTTCACAGAAATTATATATAATTGAGGTCCTGTCTCTGAGGAGGATATCAATAACTCACATCCAGTTGAGATGCGCTAGCAATACCTGACCAGTTTCCTTGTAAACTATTCAGACCTTCATCATACCACCTCTGCTTCACACTGAAGTGCTTGCTCTTGCACTAAAATAACACTGTTTAAAAGCACAGCCTGTGTTCTGAGCCAAGCACTGAGAGCTTGCTGAAATGGCTACTTGTGAAATAGGTTTTATTAGCTTGAGAATGTTAAATGTGGTGTAAAGCACTGCTTTCACCTTCACACACGCAGCCACCTTTTTTCATTTCACTTATTTCTTGGCACTCCAAAAAGCATCTAACTGCTCCCCTGTTAACACCTGTTCTGTTCTAGGATATCTCTGCCGAAGATGCAGATAGGTTATACTCCCTCTGTAGGACCATGGTGGAGGAAGGACCCCAAGTTTTCACCCCGTTACCTGAAGATGACAGAAATAAGAAGTACCAAGAGGAAGTTCCAGTCTACGTGCAGAAGTGGATGACATTCAAAGAGCTGATGATCATCTTGCAAGCCAACCTCCAAGAAATCGTAGATCAGTAGGTGTCTTCCTTTGTTCCTTTCCAGTTCTTCACCCCAGTACGAGGGAGCTGGGAAGTGGTCTGACATCAGCAGGGGACTGTTCAGATGAAGGGTAATCACTGTTAATATGGATCAGATAACAGCTCCTGGGGCTGTTTCTTGGCTTTGTGTTTATAGTCCATGTCAAGCTTGCTCATACATTCAGCCACCTCCTGCAAGGAAAAGGAAAAGGTAAAGGTAAAAAAAAAAAAAAAAAAAAAAAAAAAAAGTGCCATGAGAGGGGCAACCACAGAGTGATTGTGCATCCCCTTGGCTTCTCCAGGTTCAGAAGTGTTTCACAGTAGTTTCACAGAGAGCAGCCTGGCATTTTGCCTGCTGCTTTTAATGTTAGCTGTGCCTTGCTACTGCAGTCATTCCACTTGATTAGCCTCTGGTTTTTAGATGCTGTTTCTTGCTTCTTTTAACTTACAAGGGGGATTCACCTGAATTATACATGAGGATTTGCATAATTACATCTATTACTTCAGTTGGCATGAGTTGTCAGAAGCTAGACATTCCCTGTTCATAGCTGCCTCACACATACGTCTGAATGGCCAGAAAACATGCTGTCCTCAGCATGCTCAACTGAAAAAGGCACCAGCCATGGAGAATGCACACAGGGAAGACAGTTCCTTTTCTGTGCTCTGCTCATTGCTGCTTTTGGAACCATGTTAGACACCAAAGTGCCCAACTCCATTTTCACCTGGGCATAAACCACTTCTTTCTCCTGTTGTATGGGAGATGAATGAGAGTTTCATGGAGAGGCTTTAGGCTTATTTTGGAGAAGGAAAAGGTACAGTTTGTAACAAGTGCAAAGCTTACCTCACAACCTGTTGCTTTATATACCTCACTAAACAATTCTGGACTCAAGTTGCATAGAGCTAATAGGCTGCTAACTGGGTGGGTTTTTGGGGTGTTACTACTGTAACAGGTGCTCAGGAGGCTTGTTTTAACGTGACATTTCTGTGCAGTTGGGTTAAATAAAGCTCTTTCTCTCCCACGTAGGTGGGCGGATGGGAAGGGACCTCTTGCAGCTGAATTCTCAGCAGCTGAAGTGAAGAGTCTGATCCGAGCCTTGTTCCAGAACACAGAAAGGAGAGCAGCAGCACTTGCCAAAATTAAGTAACCCTTACGTTTACTCTTACACATCACATCTTCTGATAAAGCAAGAGGAAATTGAGCCTTTCAAGTACTTTCTGGGTTTGACCATTCTTATTTGTACTGGTATAAAGAAAACTTAGGATTAAGTTAAGTGCTTCCTGGGGGCTTGACTTGAGCATTTTCTGGCTCAGTGTTTGTGGGACAAAGAGGATGGCTCTGTGCATCTGGGACCAGAACACCACAGGTGGCTAAGACAGGGACACAAACTGCTTATGCTCTATCTGCCAGGCAGAGTTTGGCCTTGAAGATTCAATCTCCTGCTGTGCTCCCCAGAGGTGTTCTGCCCAGATCCAAGTTTTGCTTCATGAGCTGGTGGGTGTAGGGTCCCTGGGGAAGAAGAGATGCTTTGTGTGATATTCACGAGTTTCCATTCTCTGGGGTTTCATCTTCCTGTTAAGCACAGCATAGGGAAATAAATCAAATCTTGTATCCAACATCTCTGTGAGAGCAGGCACTGCTGTCAGATGGGCCTTGCATGCAAGGCACTGTTTAATATCATCTCAAGCTTCCTTGCTTAAGGGTCTTGTAGAAGGATTTTTATTTCTCAATAGTGAATCTTATCTATGCAGTTTCACATCAGGGGGCATGTTAGCCCCTTTGTGTCTTACCTCTTCTGTCCCTGCAAGTTACATATGAAACCCACAGACTTTGATAGCTTTTGGTAACCTTTCAAGAATGCTGAAGTGCCAAACTTTGCTCTTTCCCACCTCAGGTTTCCCTGAAGAGCAGACATCAAGAATAGAAATTTAGGGGGAGGTGGGGGAGAGGAGATCCTGTTCTAAGTGAACTATTTATCAAGCCACAGGGTTTTGCACAAGTGGCAGAATTCCTCATGGCTTCATTTCTCATGGAAAATACCTTAAAGCTGACTGAGAATTTTTCAATCTCACTTTACCAACCGTAGACGCTAGTTCAGCTCCTTCCTTTACCTTTCTGTTGTGTATGAACTAGGCAGGTCTGGCATCTGTTGTGTTTCAGGTAGTAAGTTTTCTGTCCTTTAAAAATAGAGAAATGTAAATGAATATGCAAAGGGAGTGAAGTGTGCACTCATAGCAGCATCTTTTAAGTTACAAAAGGCTATGTTTAAGACTGAGAAAGCTACATTTCTATTAGTTGAAAATCTCACCAAGAGCATTCATTAAGACATAGCCTAGAGACCAAGATGTGCCAGTTGCTGCACACATGGAACAAAGTATTTCCTCCTGTGTAGTGCTTACAACCCACTAAGAGAGCTGCAATCACAGAGCTTAATGTTTTAATCTGTTACCTACTGTTGTATCCTTTTCATTCCCATTCGTGTCTAGCTTCTGTTCACATTTCCAAGCATTTATGCAGGACCTGGATCACAGCTAGCTTCCATGTGGCACTTAAGCCATTGCAGAATGGATGTCCATTCTGCCTGCTGAGTCCTCCAAGCACAGCCGTGGTGAGGAGACCCTTGTGTCTTTAATTGTCATAGAGAGGAGGTAAATGCAGTCGAGTGGGCAGGTAGGCAGAGTCTGGCACATGGGAAAGCAGCAAGGAAGGGAGATACTGAAGCAAAACCTGACTGCCATTTAAACCTCTAGCTTTTTCTTTTCTTCTCCTCCAAGGAATTTATCTGAAGGCTGAAAATGTTCCCATAGCACTTGAGTCTCATGGGATCCCCTGCCCCTTTACACACAGCAATCCAAAACCCCCCACATCTTTTGAGAAACAACACTTCTCTTGTGGATTGTTCATAGAAATGTAATTTGCTATTTTCTTTAATAAACTATTTATACTGAGCACATTTTCTACTGGTGTCTGGGCATTCTCTTAGGATATAGTAACAGTATAAATTAGTTGTGGACCATCCTCCACTTTCTACATAGAAAGGGCAAAGTTGCTCTGTGAAGTCTCTCCTTGCCTTATTTCTAGTAGACCTAGTCAAAGAAAAAGGAGAAAAGAATCAGTACCATAAAGGAGGTTGTCCTAGAGGTTGCTGCATCAAGGGTGAGCATAGACAAAGAGTTAAAATGAGGGCTTGCATTGGGATCTGTCTTTGCAACCTGTACGGCTGTAGGTCAGGCTGAACGTACGTGCTTTGCTTGCTCCCACTTACCTCAGTGATGTGATGAATCCACGGCAGAAGCTGAGCCACATTGGTGTAGACCCCAGGGTGGTTGGGTTCAGCACAGCCCTGGCCCCAGCTCACGATGCCCACCAAGCGCCATGTGAATTCATCCTGGCAAACCAGGGGGCCCCCACTGTCACCCTGCAAGACAGAGCAAGGACTAAGGAAGGCAGCTGGGGTGAGGATCCAGCTGGCTTCTCCCACATGGCTTTGTTCCGTCAGCCATACAGGAAGCTGAGATACAAATACAAGTAGTGTTTGCCTCCCTTCAAGGTTTCCATGTTCCTTATACAAAGATAAGCTGAATCTCAGCCTGACATTGATGTGCCAGGTCACACCAGGCTCCACACTGCACCCCACTCAACACTGTTTACTGCAAGCTACTGCCACAAATCCCAGCATTTACTGGGGCCTAACAGAGACATATAACATACACATCCTTTCCACACCCACTATGCACACCCTGCATGCACCATTTGCTCCCTCCTGTTACCTGGCATGCATCTATGTTCCCATGCAGGTAGCCAGCACACAGCATCGTGGCAGTGAGCTCGCCTGCGTACATGCATGAACTATTGCACCTCTTGGTACCAATTAATGGAACAAGTGCTTCCTTCAGTGTCTTGGCAACCTGGGCTGGAGAGGGAGAAAGAGAAGACACGAGGGAAACTAGATCTGCAGGGAGTTAGGGGGGAAGAATGTGGCACTAATGGAAGTTAGAAGATGGGAAAGATGGGATTTAAACTTCATGGGTTTAAGCACAGCCAGGCCCATCCCCAGACATGTGGCTGGGGGTGCAGAGCTGCTGGAGCAGGAGTGAGATGAAGGCAGGAGGTAGCATTTGCAAGATTGCATGTAGCATGAAAGGGGCTGTGCAGGGCCAGTGGGGACCAAGGGGAAAGCCTCCAGTCAGGGCTGAGCAGTGGGAGTAAGATGGTAGCTTACCTTGGCCTGGTCTAGTATAACCCCAGCCAGAGACCCAGCACTGCGTGCCCTGGAAGAGGTCCTGGTGCGAGGGTGGCAGACACACAGCACGGATGGCATCTGCCAAGAAGGTGACAGGGTAAGTGCCAGGCCAGAGGGGACACATTCATGCTGTGCTGAGCATGGACACACACAGAGGGGCTGTGGATCTATCAGCCTGCAGAGCCACTCAGCCTGGCACATTGAAGCGAAAGGCCCTCAAGACCAGGTGCACTGGAGACTATCTCCCACAGCCACCTTTCCCAGTAATTCACAGCTCTGGCATAGTTTTAAACACTGTGTTGCTGTGCATTCTGCCTCCCAGATGCCAGGCTGAGTATCCTCACCAAGTTGCTCTGAAATGGCACGTTCGGAAGAGGCTGGGGTTTGGCCATCTCTTAACTCTGAGCTAAGACAGACAACTGCACAGATGGGAGAAGGATACAACAGCATCATGACAGCACGTTACCTGAGAAATTCAAGGGGACTTGGAGCTTCATCAGAGCAATGTCATAGTCAAGGTTGTTGTCATTATAAAGGGGGTGGTAAATTATTTCCTTCACTGATACCCCATCCTCCTGCTTGATGGAGCCATGGTTGATAATGCCTGCAAAAACCAGCCAGGCAGAGGTCTGAAGCCGCCTGTAACTGAGCAGAAACACAGCGTGCCTCTTACTATAGGGCAACAAGCACTAAGCCCTGGGTAAGAGCAGACACTCAGCACCCCTGAGGCTGAGTACAGGAGGTACCTGTGCACGCAGTGAGCTGCTGTGATGATCCATTCACGGGCCAGCACGGAGCCTCCACAGCGGTGCTGGGAGCCATGGTACACACTGACCTGCCAGGGCCAGCGCCCTGCGGGCACATCCGCACCCCCGACCACCCGAGCAGCACTGGGGTGCAGCCCACACTCTGCAAGGGAGATGGGGAGCACATGATGGTCAGACCCTCACAACACAGGAGGGGAATGGGGCACTCACCTGAGCACTGCAGAGCCACAATTCGGCCTGATTCACAGCTGCTCCTGCATGAGAATAAGCCTCTGGTCAGAATGCACATGAACCAAAATCCGTGGGGCATCAGGGAGCTCTGTGGCAGCTGTCACAGTCCCCAAAGGGGCTGCTTATTGCACAACCCCAGGACAGTTATCTGTGTTCTTAAGCCTAAAAAGAATGCCTCTGTTTCCCCACTGCTTCCCCCAGAGCTGCCCTTACCTGACCTGCCACATGTCTTCCAGGCTGCCTTGCTGGTGGGGTTTCACCTGAACAAACTCCTGTGTGCCATTCACCTTGACATCCATCAGGTTCACTCCTTTCTGATGGGTCATTCTGCAGAAACAACAGTCAGTTGTCCCACTAAAGGGCTGGGGACCTGCTAGGGGATCAGGAATGTAACCCAGCCATAGGAACAACAGTCCTCAGTCCTGCTGCTCTAGCAGCCAGGAATGAACTCCTTTGGTAGGAAAGATCTCCAGCTCTTCTCACAGGTCCCTGTACCAGCTCAAGCCTTGCTTTCCACCCTGCATCAGCCCTGACTAACCTCCCAACCTCCACGCACCAGCCTTTGCCAAGCTCATCTCCCTTGGACAAGGGTGAGTAAGGGGTGGAAGCAGCTGCCCCTGCAATGCCCACCTGAGATACCCCAGCTGCTGGCAGAGCATGGAGCCCAGGTAGAGACTCCAGTGCTCGTGGCATGCCAGGAGCCAGCCGGGATGGCCTTCCACCCGTGCTTCCAGCAAGGAGTTTGCCATGTTTATTCTGAAAGACACTAAAGCCATGCCATTAAAGACAGCCTGCAAGTGGATTAAAGACAATCCAACACAGTCGATGGTCATGCACATCTACTGGAAAACAAACAAGCAAAAAACCCAACATCAAATGAAACAAACCCCCAGAAAAACCCAATTTGAAGCAATTAGAAACTATACAGAACCTATTCACGCATTCTCAGTGCCTGTGTGGCAGCTCTGCTGAGTGACTACATGCATAAGAGTCCTGCAAGAGTCGCCTTTTCTGTAAGATCCCTCCGTGCAACAAAGTTTAATGCTGGGGAACACAGCAGGACTTCAAAGCAAAGCAAATTAATCACAAAATGCAATTGCAAGAAGCTCATAGATCAGCAGGAGATATTTATCATATTAAAGAGCATCTTTTCTGTCCTTGCTAGGCTTGACAGGCACTGTCCTGCACACTGCTCCCCTCTTCCCATCCTCAGTGGCAGCAAGCAAAGATGTAAACCTCTACTGGGAGCCCCATGGACCACAGGGTCTTCATCTTCACCATCACTGCACACTGGGATCACATCTGGCTCCTGCAGCAGGGTGAAGCCATGGTCTGGCTGAGTCTTCTTCAGGTGTTTCACTTCAGGA